GAAGACTTATAACTGAAAATAATATGAAGGGTCCACTTTGAAATTTCTCTTCATTTCAAAAAAAAATTATTCATTTGTCGAAATCGCCGACAGTTTATAACTGGTCAATAAAAATAAGGGCTTTGTATAGAACACTATTTTATTTGACGAAATATCTTCGCAAACATTTGACACGGATTATTATCCAAAACAACGCTACAATCTCCGAACAAATTGTTCATATCGGTCGACTATAGCTTATAGCTGTCGTATAAATTTATCGAAAAAGAAGAAGCCTTTGTATGGAAAACTTTTTTATTTGACGAAATATCCTCACGAAATGTAGCATAGACTATAGTGAATAGCAACACTGGTATAGCTCTTTAAGTATACCACAAGTAATGATCTATTAGTTAGTAAAGGTCTTGTTTGCACATTTTGTTTGAAACGAAAAAACACATTTCGTTCAACGTGCATTATACTATATGCAACATGTTGCAAGAGTATTATGGTAACTCATTGAGCCAACCTTTCAATAATATATTTCCCAATAACTCCGGCAATAAGCATTTGTAAAATGGTTGCACAAACTATGTTTTGCCGCTACTACAATGGAAATCCACTGAAATTGGTACTGAAAAATGTGCGGGTCAACCATTGTATATTGTGTGTGTATTTGGCTTTTAAACTTATCAGCATTATTTTCAAAGATTATATGCACTTGTGCAAATTTATTTTATTTCTGCTGCTGGCGGTTGTTTTCGGTTGTGTACAGAGGATTTGCACGAATATGAAAATTTCAAAAAAAGAGAGAAAATAAAAAGAATACACTCATCCGCAAGTAAGTATAAACTCGTATAAAGCACAAAACCCGAACACCTTTCACTTCATTTAACTCTGTTCGAATTGCGCAAAGCTAGTGAGTTGTAAATTTTTTTCTCGAAATCCAGGCGAGTGTGTGCTCGCCAAGGATTAAGTGGTTTTTGACTCATTTATACATATGTATTTGTAGATATATGTATATACGATGCTTAGTACATAGCGCATAACCGTAAACACAAAACGCACAAACATGGTGAGCAGGTAAGCCGACCCTTGTCAAGCTGAATTTAGCCACCCACTCAACACGTGGTGAGCATTTACCCCCGTTACTGAACCGTTACATAGTTACATGCGGATATTTTCTTACGAATCCCCATCGTCCATTTCGGTGGTTTAACTCAATTTGACTTTGTACTGCTCGAACTCAATTAATTGATTGTGTAATATTGGATGAGGCCGGCAGCAAGTTGTTGATAACTTTGTAAACAAAAACGCTATGAATGAGTCAATTGACTGTGAGCAGAGAGGAGAGAGTGTTTGAGGGAGAGTGAATGTTAGTATGTTTGGCAAAAATAGCAAATTCACCAAATTTATGGCAAAAGAAATACAATTACCGTTATTATGTATTTGAAGAAAAAAAAAAAAGTAAATATATGAGTAAATTGGTTATAATTGTGGGAAGCAGGTGGAATATAGGACCACAAAGACGGTGTGTTTACTTTAATTAAATATGAGAACAAAATCTACATTCATGGCTGGTGTCAATACAGAATTTTTTGAAGGGGTGCGGAGAAAATTTTAAATAAATTTTTTTTAGCTCAGATTTTTTCTTATTTTTCACTATCTATTATAAAATAGATTTTAGAATACAGTAAAGTTGGTTGTCTCTTTCTTTGTCTAGTAGGACTCTTGCAACTAAGTAGTTGCTACAGTTCACCTAGCGGTTGTACGCAACACCTAAAACTAATCGAGAGAGATATAGGGTTATATATATGTATATAAATGATGAGAATGATGAGAATGACAAGAAAAGTTGAAATCCGGTGGACTTTTTGTCTATCCGTCCGTTCGTGCGTCCGTGCAAGCTGTAACTTGAGTCCGAATTGAGATATTTCAATGAAACTTGGTACGTAGCATTATTCTTACATTCTTATGTTCCATTGTGAAAATGAACGAAATCGGAAAACAACAATGCTTACTTCCACATAGCACAATTTTAAATTGCACTTGTTCGTTATTCGTTCAGTGTCTAGGACATAAATCAATCAATTAATATCACTGTGGAACATTTTTGGGATTATTGTCTGGGCGGTGAGAAATTCCAAGTCTGGGTGATGGTACTAGGTCAGTATAGTAAAACCCTCAAAGGGTTTGGCGTTCGTATGTGTCAGTTTTTTTTATGACCTTTTAAATTTTTTCCTTATCTTGATGTTTTATCGCTTAGCTGTAACATTTTGGCAAAAACAAAAAAAAAAAAAGGGGATTATTCATATAAACACGTCAATAAAAATTAAGCAATTGGTGTTCCGAATCGACTATTAATAGACAGAAATCTTACTGACAAAGTTGGAACCATTTTGGAAGATCACTAGAGCCTAAGAAAAGTGAAAGCACGATTAGTTCCGAAATTACTCAATTTTTTCGGTAAACAGCGTCGCGTTAACGTATGTGAAACAATGCTTTCCGACTACCAAGATGTCATGAAACATATTATTACTGGCAATGAGTCTTGCATCTATGCTTGCGACCCAGAAACGGATGATCAATTGGCCGAATATCGTGGCAATGGTGAGCGGAAGCTTAAAAAACCTTTAACGTGGTCAGGTCAGGTCAGGTCAAAAATTAAGGTAATGTATGTTGACAGTTGAGACCCAAATATGGGCCGACAGCTCTTGCAGGATAATTCACCGTCGAATACCGCATTGATTCTTCGTAATTTCAACCATTATCGTGCCACAACCCCTGCTTCAAGTCAATTGAAGCCATTAAACCTTAATTCATGCTCGCATTGAAGGCAATTCCAGAAATTGATTTTAAAAGCTGTTTCGAGGGTTGGAAAAAACGTTGGCACAAATGTATTAGATCCAAGGAGGATTACGACATTGAAGAATAAGAAAAAGAGTTTCAAAATTAAGAACAAAATCTGACTATTTTTTGGTCATATGTAGTAGTTTATCAATAAAATTTGTTCGAAAGAGAAATTCATTTTTGGACTACTTCTTAGAATAGTAGCTCCATTTTTTCGCTGATATTATAATTTAAGAAACGTATAGTGGCAAATATGTAGTAAAAACTTTTCAGAAAACCACTTACCAAAATATTCCTTCAATGATTTGTTATTTCAAGGTGAGAACAATCAGAGTGCATTTTATAGCGATTAGTTGGCAACATGGAATTATATTTTACTTTGACCGATGTCTGAAAAAGAAGAAAATAAAGTGTGTTATAAAAACAAATTTAGGAGATATTCTAAACTAGATGGTCGAATTTCGAGCATTTTTTAGCAATTAATAGGAAAGTAATACAGGTTTTAGCATTTCGAGGAAACAAGAAATAAATTTTCATAAAGTTATGCGTTCAAAATATTACTGAGTTTTATTTACTCGAAGGAAAAATCGCTAATGTTACTCTCCCTTCGTTGGAAGCCTCCATTCGTCAATCTGTGGCGCGGATGAAGTACTTGGGGATCATAAACGGAAGCTCTTAAAGAAGCCAACCAACGACAACAGAATGAGGAAAGCATCGCTTAACTTGCGTTGTTTAAAGAGACAATGGGAAGAAATGGGGCCTCTAACCAGAGGTGGTGTTCTAGCTCTATGAAACCGCAGTTAGGGAAAGGTTTAATAAGGTTGTTGTCTGGTGGAAGTCGTTCGAGCAATACACACACAGTTAAGAAGCTGGCAAATGTTCAAAGAACGGCCCTCAAAGACATAGCTGGGAAATGCTTTGCTGTGGATATATAAATCCAAAATTTAGCACCTTTTATTATAATGATAATAAATTTAGTTAAAATTATGAATGCGAAGTCATTTAAGTAACAATAAAACATTATTATCTACTATTTCTCAGGGTGTCATACATCGCTGAAGCTTAAACTACATGGCACTATATAACAAAAACTATCCCTAGTTTAAAAAAGGGTGACCAAATGTAGAAAACGCTAAATTTTTTGCATATATATATTTTTTTTTACCCTAAACAAGCAACAAAACTAAGCCGCTTGCGCTATGCAATATTTTTCATAAAAAGCAGCAACCTTTTCACTATTGCCTCTGTTATAAAGAACCCAAGACCGGTCAATTGCCAATAAGCGCCTCCTTGCAGGCAACCACTCACTTGATTTCCCTCCCTCACCAATACATTTTCATAGCAAATTGTTGTACACAAAAAAGAAAAATAATTTTTGTTATGGACGAGTGAGAAAAACATGTCTTTTATTAAGTTGTTATGCTGCCTGTCGCCGCAGCAGTTGTGGGAATAATAACAAAGTGAAACGACACAACAAAGTCAACAGCTGCAGCAAATATTAAAAGCAGTCGCAGAGAGAGTGAGCATTTAAAAAAGTATCGAAAAATAAAGTAAAATCTTATCTGTTTTGCTACTTCACTGAGAATGCGCTCATGCACTCAGCAATAGCTCGTTAGTTGTGTGTGGCTGTTTGCATTCATGGCCTCGTGTACAGTTACTATTTTTCACTTTTACTACCAATGGCAGCGCGCATTTAAATGTTACGTATACGCCATGTGCGCCACGAAGACATCGACAGCAAGCATTGAATCGTCGAATTTGCAAGTCGATGCAATATTTTGATTGGAGCGCGAAAACAAAAACAATATGAATAAAGCTAAAATGCAAATATTTGTAAATAACTGTATTTTCGGTGCATTGCTGAATGGCGAACCAACAATGTAGTACGTATGGCAATTGAGTGAATTATTCTCAAAATTTCACATGACGCAATTTTATTTTTCTACAAATATGTATTGTAAATAATTTTTTTTGATTGGAGTTGCCACAGGACGAAAGTTTTACGTACAAAAGTTATTAAAATTTATTACTATTTCTACTAATTTATCACAACTGGCTTTTATAGGATAAGAAAGTTGCCACTTAATGATAATTTTACAGCAATTTCTTACAACAATAAGATAAAAAGATGGTCATATGATGAAAATTGTACCGCCAAAATCAATAAAAATATTTTAAGTATTTATTAATTTCTCACTACTGGTGAGATAAAAAGGTTGCCATATTAAGGAAATTTGACGCGAAAAAATTTATTTATGTAAATATCTGCTTTTAACAAGACAAAAAGTTGCCACACTTACTTAAACAATTTACAAAGATAATAGAAATAATTTAATTATTTTTTAAGTGTAATTGGCTTAAACAGAGTTTCTTTCTAAAATTATTTAAAAATAGTGTTGCCAACAGTTTGGAAATTTAAAAAATTCGGTCGTCAGAATGTAAAAACCGTAAAACATATTTGAATTGTTAATAAAATGAATTGCAATTCTAAAATATCACTAAATATTCGAAAATATTTTAAAGAAGCATTGCCAGCTGCTCTAAAAACGTTATTAATATATTAGCATACGAATATACATATATAATAACAATAACCACTTCATTAACAAATATTTAATAATTTAGGCATACATTTTTTTTGTTGTTGCCACCTATTAAAAAAAAATTTGGATCAATAAACATATGAATATCTATAATAACAATAACCATTTCATTAATAAAAATTAAAAGAATTAAGGTATACATTTTTTTTTTGATGTTGCCACCTATTAAAAAATTGTAGTTCATTAAATTTTAAAATAAAGCGACAAAAAATACAAATAAAAATCGAAACATATTTGTGTAGGCTTGCATTGAACTATTTTTAGGAAGAGACTGTGTGGGTAAAACGTTCAACGATAAAAGAAAATTAAGGAAAATAGTAGTTTTTAATGAGAGTTGCCAGCTGTTCAAAATAGTTTACCAAACTGATTTCAAAAATAGAAATGTATAACCAATAAATAAAACAAGTTATTAAGAGTTTTCCAAAAAATATTTCTGAAAAGCCTTGCCACCTATTTAAATAATATACAAAATTCACATAATTAACAATTTTGAAATATTTAATAATAAATCTAGCCAGTTAATAAGAGCTTTCAAAAAAATATTAAGAAGAGTTGCCACTTATTCGAAATTTTTAATTTAAATAATTAGGAAAGATACAATATAGATATTAAAGTGAATTTCATAAAAAAATACTTTCAAAATATATTTTTTTTTAGTAGGGTTGCCAGCTGGTAACCTTTTTAACTCAAAAACATCAATAAGTTAGTGGTGTTAAAGTATACGTGTCAAACTAAATAAGTTTGAGAAGACTTATAACTGAAAATAATATGAAGGGTCCACTTTGAAATTTCTATTCATTTCGAAAAAATTATTCATTTGTCGAAATCGAACATATAAACTGGTCGATAAAAATAAGGTCTTTGTATAGAACACTATTTTATTTGAAGAGATATCTTCACAAAAATTTTACACGGATTATTATCCAAAACGACGCTACAATCTCCGAACAAATTGTTCACATCGGTCGACTATAGCTTATAGCTGTCGTATAAATTTATCGAAAAAGAGGAAGCTTTTGTATAGAAAACTTTTTTATTTGACGAAATATCCTCACGAAATTTAGCATAGACTATAGTGAAAAGCAACGGTACAATCTCCGAACGTATTGAGCGAATCAAAATACTATAGCATATAACTGTCATACAAAGCGACCATAAAAAATCAAATCGAAATCTTTGTATACTTCTTTTTATACTCCACTACTCTATTATATATTTCACCAGCAGACCCCGCAGGCGTTGTCTTGCGTGAAATTTTGTGTTTAGAAATTAAAAAAAGTTGAATGTACTATATTTTGTGTTTAAATCATTTATTTGCGATTTTTCTAGATTTTTTCAATGCAGCGCAGCTTGATAAACAACATTTTTTGATATCTGTTCCAAAGCATAAATGTATAGAGAAGATGGGTATTGAGCTTTTGAATACGCCACGTAGTTATAGCAGGTCGTGTGAAAAACATGGCATTCCCAGATTTATGCCGCACACTTTTAGCGACTATCCTTCCCTGGAAACTGTATAGATTTAAACTGAAATGGCAAATCGTTGGAACTCAAAGGAATTCGTAGAATCAAGCATTCTGCGGTTGGGTTCCATTACACAGTTTCGGCGAAACATAATAATGACAGATCCAACTTTGAGACGTGGCGGCATACCAAGCCTCTGTCTCTCTTGTTCGTATCCCGTAATTCCATCGTTGGATTCCAGCAACTGTAATTGCTGGCATGCTTCACAAAAAGTTGCACACACCGTACCATTCACAGTACGCAATGACTCAAATGAAGTTGAACCGCGAACATTAATCAATAGCAACCGAAGGCAAAAGCAATCACCGTTTTTCGGCGAATTGTGTAAACTCATCCTAATGCATTTTTTGAGGACACACCTTCCATCTAATGGTTGGCCTTGTTTTCCATGTAAACATTTCTTCGACGATGAATTCTATGTATAGTATAATATCAAGGTCGGAGATGCCTAGAGCAATTTTCTCGCAAACGTACCCTACAATGCGCTTCATTGCTGTGCATATATCGACCCATTTCATAATAACTCGTTCAAGGTCAAAAATCACCATATTGCTTTCTTTGGTGACGTACTTGCAAACGTTTTTGATCGATTCCACCAAACAGCAACATTCAACATTGATTGATATGAAGTGTGAATTTCGGTGTCCGCAAGGTCAATGAACCACACTGGTTTTCATCACTTTGTATAATGCTGATTCTTTCTCTGCAACAGGAATTTCCGCAGAAATAAGTTCATCAATTTGATCTGGTGTAACCACCCTCCACCATCCAAAGAAGACTGTGTGCGTGTGGCAAACTTCTCTTTTGCCACTCAATAGAGTACATATAGCAGCTAACAGCACCGCATATGTATACGTTGCTTCTAGATAAAGTCCATCTAACATCGTAACTGTTGTTTGCAAAGTCGTGCTGTAATATCGTAATGATCGCTTGCTGATTGACAGCGATCCATAATTCCACACGCACGTCATCGCATCCTGGGAGTACTCATGTTGTTCGTGTGTCTTGGGCTGCCATACGTTGATCGCAAAAAGAACGCCGATATTAGGGCGATCTCTTCGTGGCTTTGTAGCAAATTTCAATCTCTAATTGATCATTTAGTATGAAACACACATAAAGTTTTCACTGAATAATTTTCAACAATTTTTCTTTCGAATAGCTAGAATAAAAAAGCAAACGACCGAAATTGCACGATTCAAATAATTTACAAATCAAAATATTGAAAAA